AAATTTTTTTTAATCAGCTGCGCTGCCAGGGTGAGTTATATATATCACCACTGACGTCAAGTCAGTGGTGATATATATAACTCCCTATAGGAGAAACAAGGCTTCCAGCCATGCTAACATCTGCAAGAGGCTGTATCATAGACTGTATATAAAGATGGACGATGCATCTCCACTTCCTCCCACTAGCCAGAAACTAAGCCATATTATCCCAGATTCGAACGCTACCATCTTGAGCCAGAGTCAGCGCAGTAGCGATCAGGGGTGGAGCAACGTTAGCGAGGTCCCATCGAGACATGCTCTCAATCGAAAGTGTCTTTGAGAAAAATAATTAGACTTGTAATTCGATTTTTTTGGTTTGCTTCATGTCCCATCCACTAAATGGAGAAGGCAAGATCTATGACCTATTCTGCAGCAAGCCATGATGTGGTGAGTGACGTGATTTGGCTTCACTCTAGGGGAGCAGTCATGCAGGGGCTGCGTCCTGCAGAGTCTACATTTGAAGACCGGTTGCGTCACATGGGTGTTACTTGTCCCTTTTAAATGACTGCACGAGCATTCAAACTTTCTTGTCGCATCCAACTTCAGCTGTGTTGCTAGGCAACAGCAATATGGGCGGGACAAGCTAGTGGCATTAGAATTAGAATTATTGTTAAAATATATTTCTCTATGAACCATGAATATCTGTAGCAAAGTTCACAGTAATCCATCCAATAGTTGTTAAGATAAAGTACACTCTGATGGACCAACCAACCAACAGAAATTACCTTGATAGCTCCAGGAAGCTAACGTGGCTAAAACAACACATATTTAATTTGATACACTAMAATAGTTTCACATAGGTAGAAAACACCTTAGCTGCTGTTTCAGTAGGAGATCAATTCAATAGGACATTTTTTTCAATTTAAAAAGAAAAGAAGAGGTAATAGTCAAATAATCTTGTTTGACCAATAAAAGTCAAACACCCAGAACACACTGATGTGGACACTTGGGGGCAGAGACATCTTATCTCTGAAGTGACACAGGCTTTAAGAGCAAACACTGACAATGGTATTATTCACTTTACCTGAATGGCACTTTGGTTTCGTTAGTTTAAACTTACTTTTCCTTTAAGACTTAATTAATTCTCCAGAGGAGATCATGCTTTTGTTTTGTTTGTCTGTTAGCAGGATTACATAGAAACTACTTTGCGGATTACCATGAAACTGGGTGTAAGGATGTGATATGGGTCGGGAAAGAATCCATTAAATCAATTTCTCTGCAGCATTTCCCACAGAATTCATTCAATGGCGGTACCTGGCTTTGCTACACAACAGATGCACAGGGTACGGCCACACATACGAATGCAAAGCAAATACTGCAGGTCACAGTTCATCAAAGCTTAACTCTAAACCACGCTGCAGCTTTGCTTCACCATAGGAAGTGAATGTTTTATTCGCCCCCTCGTTTCCACAGATTCCTCAGAGTGCCCATCAAGTTTCATCTGCATTTGTAAACTTTCTGTGTGGATCTGGATCAGTGGGCGTATCATGGAATTTGTTTGCTTTCTTGAACTTTGCAGGATGGGCCGCTTTTCAACTTTTCCATTGATTTCTCAGAGAATAATTCATGAATCTTGATGAAAACAAATCTGGAATTTTAGGGTGAATGATATTTACGAGTAAGCAAAATCCTGATCTAGAGAACAAATTGCGATCAATCATGCAGGGTGACCTCTGTGACACAAAATGTCAAAAAGACACAGTGTCTGATTGTAGGAGATAACCACTGAGTAAAAACACTGTTTTCACACTGTTTGGCACAAGCAGCAAATTGGTTGGAAATTAAAACTAATGAGCAATTACCCCACCAATGAACTTCTGTTAATGTCTGTTTTCACACTGCTCTCCAAATGAATCCTAATTTCCACTCATTTCATCAATCTGAATAAATATGACACTTGTTTTTACTTCCTAAATCTTTCATTGTCTTTGCTGTGAGACACAGAGGAGGCCCTTTCGCATTCTGATGCACATTCAAGACTCATAACTCATAATCTCCTCCTCGACGACTGTAAATACAGCGTTCACAGACAAACACTTGCCTATTTCTCCATAATCAAAACATTGCTACCGCTATTGGTTCAGTTTATTTGTACATTCATAAATACTTTATTTGCATGCGGTTTCTATTATGAACCTTGCAACCATATTCCTGCCATATTAAAACTATTTACCCTTCGGAAAAAGTCGCATTGCACTCTGCTTGAACTGGCTGCTTCTGATTTAATCCTGTGTCCCCAACCAGGCAACCGCACATGAAAGACCCTTCAACGTGGCACAGTAATAACTTAACAGGGTGTGTTCACAAACAGAAATATACAACAATATAATCAATTATTCACCCGCTCCCTCAGCCCTACAACAGCACGGCAGAGGATAAGCGTGTTTGCATTTGCACTGATAATGGAATTCAAATTTTGACGATGAAAGGTTATTGATGTTATGTGATGAATTTTGTTGTGGGGATATTAACATAGTGAATTATAAGTCTGTATATCTGCAGACAGTTGGGCTCTGAGCTGAGCATGGTGCTACCTCAGCAGAGGTTGCAGAGGAACCTTGGTGGAGATTCATCAGGAAATAAAACAACCATTAATCCCAAAATCAGTGGACTTCCCACAGGACAGCATTTCCACAAATCTGAGCTGATGTGAATATGAGTGAGCATGAGCCAGAGGTTGTGCACTCACCCGAAGTGTTATGCATTCAGAAAAAAGATCACCACCACCACCTGCAGCTCTTCAACTGTAATAACATACTTTATATGCACAAATACTACATTACCTTTCTTAGGAACTTCATAGAAAACAGCTCAAAGGATTCACTCACTGAGCCACACACCTTGAATGCTGGCACCGCTCTGAACCACAGTCGTGCATGAAGTGTGCGTCACTCTGCATGTCTAATTCATTATATGCCATCACCTGCTTGTTCTGCATTGTGGTATTTTATCTACGTAGATGGTTTACAATCCTTTTAGGCTCGGAGTGCTGGAGCAGTGACAGTCACAGATACGAGCAGCCATCTGAAGGCATCACAAGAGAATAAAGTGAAGCACCATCTGCAATATTAATGGGGTAATTATGCAAATGATACACCAGCTTTCATCACTCAAAACAGTGATCTTATTGCCTCACAGACATGGAGCTCATTGTTGAGACGCTTCCTTTCTGCTGCTGCACAGATATCTCTCTAAATCAGAGCGGACAAAGCTGGAGGCTGATCCATGTCTGCACGCTCGGCTGAAAGTCTGCTGCTCACTTATCAAATCCCCACAAACATTTATTCCCACAGAGGTAATCTGTGTCATAGTTCATGCAGTCAGAGGAAAACTAATTTCCACTGTCATGTTTTAAATCCACAAAACAACACTGATACGCACGAGTGAGGCTCTCTGAGGACAAAGTGTGGTGTCATGTGCTGGGACTGGTGTAACACACACAAACACACACACAGGATGTGAGCATATTAGCCATCTTTACATGAGTGTTATCCTTAAAGTTCCAGAAACCAAGACAAATCTTATCCATGCAAATATTTAAGCAGATACACCTGCAGACCTCTAGAGAGGTCACCATGTGTTTTTACATAGATCAATGCTGCCCCCCAGTGTGAGAAATGGGAACAAGGAGAAATGATATGTATGTGGGAGTTACAAGAGGCTTCTATTTATAATGACGTTTCATGCAAAACTTGAGTGACCCTCAAGTTGACCTTCCACAGGGAGGTCAGAGTAGAGGTCCACTATTAATCAAAGATAAACCGGGGGTTGGGTCAAAAAAATGAATTTAAAATAAAGTTATCTTGGGAAGCCGGCAGTAGACGACTTTATCCTGATTCCAAAAACAACCATGGAGCAGCACTCCTGGAGAGTCTTCAGTGGTGCTCAGCAGGGTGGACATTAACACTCCTGGTCTCTTAATATTTCAAGTACCCCAACTAGTGTAAGCTACAGAGTGTCCCTGATTTAAATACNGGGGGGGTTGTGGAATCGAAACTATGAATCATAGACTATTATCATAATCATTTTGGGTATTTCTACAAAGTTAGTGTACTCATGACCGGCAACAAAAGAAGAAAGATCTGCAGTAACAGATTTTCTGTTTTACTGTCTGCATGTCAAGCTCCAGGATTACTGGATCCTACATTTCCCAGGACTCAATCAATAGCATCATTTTGTTTGGCCCTGTCTGTCTGATATGCAAACTCTCTTCCACCTCCACGCCCTCAGCTGTAAAGCAGGTTGCTGGTTATAAAACTGTTGATCTCAACCCCAAACTGATATAACCCAGATGACATCATGAATAAGACCTGATGATGTCATCTGGGTTATTATTTTTCAATGATGAAGGCTGAGTTTGTTTGTTTGTCTTTAAATTTGGTGGAATACCCCTTAATTTTGGGAATAAATGGCATATTTGCAATACTACACACACAACAACTAAATTGAAAAAAAGTGAGAGCACTTTTCTGTGTCTCAGTGGTTTGTAATAAAAATCTAATTTGAATAACAGCAGCGTGTGAGTCGACCACTCTTCTAAGAAGGTAATTAAACACTCATTTGGAGACATTTCTAATTTGCCACTGTTTCAGAATCACTTCCCATCTTCCATTCTGTGTGTTGACACACTCATTCATCACAGAGGAACACGCTCTGGAAATCACACTTTTAACTAGATGCTGCCTTTACTGTATCGTACGTGTGCGTCTCCAGTTTTCCACTGTGCTAAGCAATGGGGATGGAAACGTTACCAAGGGAACCAGCCAGAGCACCCAAGTGTACGTTCCTATTAGAAGACAGCTATGATTACTGACTGGAAATAACTGAAGGTCACAGGTGACAACACTGAGGAAAGTGTGACACCTGATACCTAAAATATTCATTCTTTTCCAGTAGCTGATCACACACTTTTGAAAAAAAACAACTTTATATGACTTTTTATGAGGACAGTAATATGAAAATATCACATTCATTTATATATCACATACTTTAAATGATTCTGCACATGTTATCTTATCTTCAATGTAAGAAAATATACGTTATAAACTGTATATGTTTTTTCTGATATGCTACATATTATCTGATAGTAAATAATGCTACATTCCTGATAAATGTGACAGGGCAAATTGTTCCACCAAGCAGAAAACCAGCGTGTTCAATCTTTTTGCCATGAGGAGAAAACATTCAAACAGGCCATTCATCTAAGAGTTGACAGAGTCAGAATGACTTCCTCCTGGTGTGCAGATTGTTCTTGCCCGGGCAGAGCGCTACGCAACTCGGGGAGGCCTGTGCAGACACAGTGCAGGAGCTGCACGAGGCCTGGTCCACCCTGTAGGAGATGGAGTTGTAGAAGACAGGGTTGCTGTGGCCCAGCTCCTGGTCGCAGTGAGATGGAGGAGGACTGTCGTGAATGTCACAGCAGACGCAGGAGAACAAGGCTCTGAGTCTGCTGGGTTCAGGCACCTCTGAGTCCTCTATCTGTTCAGATGTAACAAGTCCATGATCCTCTGCAGGAGAAGGGAGGAGGTTCGTACAGCTGGTGCCCCCCTCCATGGGCAGGCTCAGGTTGCAGCGGCTGCTGTGCTCATTTTTCCTGTCCTTATATCTCCCTTCAGCAGTTTCTCCTTCAGAGTCCGACACCTCCCTGTCCTCCTGTTGGTCTTTAGGCTGTGGTCCCGGCTCCTCTCCCCCTGTGTCAGGTCCTACATCAGGCTCATCTGAGCTCACAGTGAGGAACCTCAGGACAACCAGGTTGAGAAAGGCTCCAATCACAGTCAGCCCGACCAAAATGTACATAAAGCAAAAAGCCACATAGGGGGGTCGCTTCTGCAGAGCGTCTCTCTTCTGCAGGGCCACAAAATCCCCAAAGCCGATGGTGGTGAGCGTGATGAAGCAGTAGTAACAGGCATTGAAGAAGGTCCAGTCCTCAAAATGAGAGAAGGCCACGGCTCCGATGCACAGAGTACTCATGCAAGACAGCAGTCCCACCAGCACCATGTTCCCCATGGACACCTCCACCTTCCGCAGGCCCAGACCCTGCTTGGCTCTTCGCAGGAGGTAGCGGACGAACGTGTTGATCCTCTCGCCCAGGCTCTGGAACATGACCAGCGTCAGGGGAATGCCCAAGACTGCGTAAAACATACAGAAGGCCTTGCCAGCATCAGTTCGAGGAGCAACGTGGCCGTAACCTACAAAGTCACAGTACATTGCAGGTCACAGACAAGTAAACACTTGATGTACTAATGGTCTATCTAGTGCAGGCTGATGTCAAAGCTCAAGCCTTTAAAGTTTCAAACACTAAATTATGAGTTTGACCGTCAGCTGACTATATGATGGGTATTATAACTTTTTATATGGTTACATGTTGAAAAAATCTATCATGTGATTCGTGCAAGTTAAATGTGAAACAGCTCATTGTGACAAAATCTTAAAGAATAATCACAAAACTCTGCAGCTCTATAATTCATCTTTAGAGTTGTTGCAGAAAAGGTTCCAGTAAAACCACAATATGCTCTGTGGCTAAAGATAATAACCAGCTGGTGAGAAGAAGTCAAACATCTGCATTTTCTGTGTCATTTTCCTCTGCTTCCTACAGGTCAAATTACTTTGGTGCATCTTAAATGGAAACCAGTCTAACCTGCAGACATGCAGAGGTATCTGCATTATCATGTACATTACACTACTCAGCTGTAACATAATCACAGTACAGCTTCTTCACGTTACGGACTGTTGTCACTTAATCTGGCTGAGCAAACCTCTGACGTGAGACAGTAATGACTGAGGTCACCAAATTGTCAGAGTACAGTGTGACCTCTACCACCCTGAAGTTACAGTCACATTACACGTCCATTCCATGAATATCCACTCGTACGCTTAGTTCCTCCACAATCTACTGCATGGTTATGTGATTCTTCCTTTAGAGATACAACACAACTAAGAAGAGTGCAGCACATATCAGTCTGTACACACTGTCCTCACACAAGACTCAGGTAACTAAGTGAGAACACCATGTGGGTGGACCACAGGTGTGAGGACTCTCCAAGAAACTTCTGGAGGAAAAAGGGCGAAACAAATATTTCCTTAAGTGAATTGGACTTTCACTGTGGCCTGTCCTGATTCTGTCATATCACTTATGCTCCCTATAACATTGTCAACAATAACTGACAGAAGGTGACTTAACATGAAAAAGGTGACTGCACACCGATCTAATCAACTTCTTTAAAATTTGTTGACAGTGTTTAGTTGTTTTTTGGGGGAAAACAAGCATTTCAGTTGCTTTTGTTTTATATGTCCACAAATTGTAATCACAGGTAATGCATTCTGCAAAACTATGAATATGACTGTCTCAAATTATAAGGGAATTAAACTCTTTAGAGTTAGATATTTGCTGCTATAAAGTTGAAATAAAAGAGTAGTTTCATCTTCTGTGAAGGATACGGATGGACTCAATTTGAATTTAGTGTTTGAAAAGTCACAGAAAAGTTGGATCATGATGACGGAAGTACTGTATATTTTGTCATAAGTTTGTTGTTTCTGTTTATGCTGTGTAGAGATCTCACTGGAGCACAGACTTTGTTCTCTGTGAAGAAGACAAACTTTTTACAGCCACAGTCTTTAATGTGTCCCAATGAAAACAAATCCGTTTGGTGGACTGTCCCTTTAATGCAGGTGAGTTGTTTAATGTGCATTAGCTGCTGTTCTGTGCTGAATCATGTTAAGCACGAACTTCAACACACACCTCTTCATTGTGGCCCCTCTAACCAGGGCTCCAATTAATGGGCTCCGCGTTAAACTTGAAAGAGCGCCTTGGCACACGCGCATAGTGATGGTCGAACACGCATGGAAGTACTTGCCTATCGTGGTGATGACAGTGACGGCAAAGTAAAACGAGCCGGTGAACTTCCACTGCTTGCCGGCTCGGTGCGGCTCTGCCAGCAGCACCACTCTCTCCATCTCCCTGTAGTCATGCTCGGTGAAGCCGTACTTTCTCTTCAGCTCGTCCAGCCTCTGCTCCAGGACCTTTCCCCTCTCTCTCTCACTGTCAGACTCCAGCGCGTCGAACACCGCGGCTCCCACCAGCAGGTAGAACACGATGGAGAGGATGAGAGAGAGGGTCCTGATGTTCTGCGTCTTCATCCTCGGCTCCACAGTGCGCACGGAGCGGCGGCGCAGGGAGGGAGGTGCTGCTGCTGATCAGACGCGCTCAGGACACATGCAGGAGCATCCTTCATTCATCTCCAGACGACTGAGGTGTTGGGGTCCATGTAGCCTGACATAGGATTACCTTACTAAATAGGTTGGCTGTTGAAACTGTAGCCTGTTCTATTAGAGTGTGATCAGACCCAGCGCCTCTCCACAGGTTACCTGAGCTCAGCAGATGGCAGCACGTTGATTTTCCACAGGATGTTTTGTAATCTGTGGCCTTACAGTGCAGCCTCATCTATGATGCACATGTCTACAGAGGACAACTCCACACAAAAGGTGCTCATCTTACTTCACTGTCTGACCATCACTGTGCAGGATTGTCTGAAGCCTGTTTTCACACTCATCTGCTGATGGTGCCACATTTCTCTGAGCTCATCTTCATTCAGATACAAGATTATTTTGTGACATCCCAAGTCGAATGGACGCCAGATATGGTCCAATACGTAACTTGTAACATTCCACTTCATCGTGCTCTGAAAATGACGTAGGAGCCGCCTTGTGTCTGAAGTGGTAGAGGACGAATCCAGATCCTTTACTTAAAGGTCCAGTGTGTAAGATTTAGGTGAAAGGGAACTACTGGCAGACATTTTAATGTAGAATAACCCTCATGATGTTTTCACTAGTTTGTTTCATCTAAATTGTATGAATTGTAGTTTTCTTAACCCCAGAGAAGGACCTTTATATTCAAATACTTTATATTTACATCGAGGGGACCCTCTCTACGGAGGCCGCCATGTTTTTTACATTAGTCCAGACTGGACAAACTAAAAACCTTTTGAGTTTTTATGACAACTGAAGGTGACCACAGGTTCTTTTTCATGTTTGGAAGGGGAGGCTGAGGTGAGGGGTGTTCAGCTGCAACATGCACTTTCAACAATAGATATCACAAAGATCTCCACACTGTACCTTTAAAAAAAAAGTACTATATGTCACAAGTAAAAATTCTACTTACGTAAAAGAACATAAGCATTAGTAGTGAAGTATTAAAGTAAAGTAAAAGTAGTTTGATGATGCTATACATTATTGTACATGACATTGTTAGATGATTAATACAGAGCCAACTGTGTGTATATTATAGACTGTATATAAAAATGGACGTAGACTGCAGTCCAGAAAGTGAAGCCAACGTGGATCATCCTGCAACCTGTATTCTCTCGAATGATCAGCAGATGGCGACTTCGCTGGTTACAAAAAGAAGTCAGAGGTCTACAGCCCCTTTTCCACAGGTCAAAAAAGCCACTAACATCGGGCTCTGCTCTGCAATGGGAATAGATGCAATCAGCATTCACTCCCAGGTCAGATGACTCTGAAGAAGACCCAGGTTTTCTTCCGATCACACTGAGGCTAAGTCCTCTAATGGGGAAGGAGACAATCGCCTTTTAGTGGCTTTACCATAGACTGTATATAAAGAGGGCTTTACCCACATTTAAAAAAACAGCATCAACCTGCTAATTTTGGTGTCAAAGAGTTACATGAAAAAGGGTTCCCATTTCCCATTTCTGATTTATGACGTGAGTAAATACTTTCTTACAGTGTTCTCAATGTTCTCAATCACTAGTTTCAAGACTTCTTCAACTAACACACCATCATGTTCATCTTGTTGAGTTTGGTCCCATTTAGAGTCAAATACCATGTGATTGACAGATACTATTGTCCAATGGGTGCAGTGCCCTTAAGCTCTCTCCACCCCACACCCACCCCCTGCTCCTCTAAATATAGTTACTTCGGGTTTAAATAAACCAAGATGGGTTGTGGGTCTTCATGTTCAATATTCTGTAAGATATCAGGCTGTAGATTTATCTGATCACGAGTAAATCTATTTATACTCAAGTATTAACTTTCTCAGATTGACTGAGGTGTTGAGCAGTGATCCTGTGTGCAGAGGTGTGTGTGTGTGTGTGTGTGTGTGTGTGTGTGTGTGTTGTGTCTGTGGGTGTCCCACAGCAGCAGAAACAGCTGGCCTTTCCAGACGCTACTCTCTTGATTATTTTGCCCTGTGAAGCGTTCATGTGTGGAGTATTCACAATACGCTCGGCTAAAGTATTACTCTGAGCAATGAAGCATTAGCTGGTGGCAGCACTGACCTTTATCAAGCACACTTAGTCGCTGAGTGATCCGACGAGTTGTCGTCATTAACTAAGTCCGACACACACAGGGACTGAGAGACAGACAGTGAGGGTGCAGATTAATTGTGAATGTGTGAGGTTTTTGCTCTGTGTCATGCCTATTGGGTTCACAGCAGAGCAACCAGAAAATGGCCTGACTACTGCAGCTCGACCCTGCATGTTATTTCAGTTTCATACCCTACATGAAGTTCCCATCTCTTTCCAATTTGAGGGGCCTATTCATGCACTTAACCAGGCCATAAAGAGCCAGAGATCTGTCATTAACATCCACATTTATTGCCTCCACCCCCCTGCAGAACATATGGCTATCTCCTTGCTGTGTTTTTATCTTCCAGAGAGTGCAGGACCTTATCCCGCTGTAGTAAGCACAAATGGATCTATTGCTGAGGACGTATTAACAGTGTATCATACAGACAAGTCTTGATTTTCTCCACTAGCAGTGAGAGCAATTATCTCCTTTTGAAAGGATTCCCTGAGAGATAATGGCCTGACCAGGGCCGCTCAATAACAGCACACAGCGCTTACCTTACTATTATTCACAATCAATTCTTTATGCAAATTTCAAATGTGTGTGTCGGAAACCAATAATGAACAAAATAATGTTATAGTTGTTCGTAGTCGCATCAATTCAGCAGTATACTGAGCAATCGCTGCAAAGGACAAGTGATTTTTTTAATAAGAGCCCTGTGGTTTAACAGCCCTCTATCCATGAAGTAATGATGCTGCATTATCAGATGTCCTCATCTCATCTCTCCCTGCTCTGTGGGAACGTTCATACATTCCCTTTATCTTCCACAGGAAGACATTAAGGCCAGGATGTCCACCAGCAGGAGTCAAGACTCATCTGTCCAAGTGCCTTCCGCTTTAAACAATGAGGAGACGAAATACACCACAAACATGATGGTAAACTGATGACAGCATGAAGCGGCAGTGGAGATAAAGAGTCTTTATGATGATTGTTTGATAAAGAGACCTTAATGTATTTTAGTCATAAAATTTAATTTTTTTTTCAAAACAGCAATAAAATTAAACTTTTACACAATTATCTTTTTGGTGTCACTGAGGTTAACAATCTTGAACTTTCAAGGTTTAGTGTGTTTTCATTTTTCAGCAAAACATTAATCAGTTCAATTGAATTCTTTTCACTAATTTCTGAATATAACTAAACTATAGGTCTTCTATGGTGTGCTTATATTTGGATGTTTTGATAATTATTAATCTTGGAATAGATGGATGGATGAAACTCACATGACTGTTGTAAAAGTGAATTAGAGCCAATAAAAGACAGTGTCCAGACTTTGATGTCAGAAATTGACATTATATTGTCTATACCCAGAGGTGAATGGTTGCGTGCACACAGCAACTCAATCTGAATCATAAAAACACTGGATTTGAACATGTTGAACAGTGTGTATCTGTGCACCTACACAGTCCCAGTGGATAATCTTGGTGTCTGTGAGATTTAAAATGTTAAAGTTGATGCTGGGTCTGCATTAGGACTCTAGTGACGTGCAGGAGGTTAAAACCTGGTAAAACCCACAGTGCAGTAACAATAAAATAAATCCTTTCACGTGTTAAACCATGTGGGAGGTGGTCTGTGTCTGTTTGTGTCCCTTAAAGCTCAACAGCTGCAAACAGCTTCATGCTTTCTGCTCAGATCATGAACCTGAACCTGCTTCTCTCTGTGGGCGTCAACACCAAACTTTCTGTTTCCCTGTAAAAATAAAGGACACAAGTGAAAGTGAAACAAACCTCCGCTTCAGACATGAGGCCTGAGTCCGGCCTGCGTCGTCTCAGGAGGAGAGTTGGTGTCATCACGTCCTGGTTTGTTCGGGACACCCTGTGTCCTGCTGTGTCCTGGCTGTGGCGCCGGGCCTTGTTCCTCCGCAGGCTGCTCGCTCCTCTTATCAGGTACCTGCGGTCAGCGCCAGACCGGGAGGAGGAGCGCAGCGGCCCCGACGAGCCGCAGCTGCCCGACCGACAGGTACTATGTGAGGCAGGTCTGCCAGAGAGGCCCGAGGAGGGTCAGGGCCCAGAGGGTCAGCGTGAGGCCGAGGTGAGGGTCCCTGAAGAAGAGCAGGAGCAGGTGGAGGAGGAGGAGGAGGAGGATGAAGAGTGTGACAGTGAGGAGCACAGAGTTGACATCACGGATGACTTTTACTGTGGTTATGATTCCACCTGGGAAACAGAGGAGCCTGAGGAGAGACCAGCAGCCTCTGTGAGTTCTCCTCAAGCCACGTGTTGGTTTGTGTTTGTTTGTTTGTTTGTTTGGGAAAAGTCATTACATCAGCCGCAGCTTAAAACACGATGCGCGTCTAGTCGTGGCGTTACGGTACAGGCGAGTGGAGCGGAAACTAAGTTTAACTTGTTCCTGTTGGATGGTTTTCAAAATCCTGACAAGGTGACAGAAGTTTCACCTCACTGTAGCTCATGGTGACCTCCACTGTCTGCATGTCAACTATCAGAAGATGTTACTGTAGAGATATCACTTCAATTGAATTTTTCTGAATACAACTAAACTATAATTCTTGCTTATATGTGGATGTTTTGATAATTATTAATCTTGGAATAGATGGATGGACGAAACTCACATGACTGTTGTAAAAGTGAATTAGAGCCAATTAAAGACAGTTTGAGTCCCATCAAAGTCTGGACACTTTATCAGTTTATCCATCTGGAGAAACTGACATTATATTGTCTATACCCAGAGATGAATGGTTGACCTTATCTTATTGTGAATACAGCCCAATCCATACATAGGTTGTCTGGTAAATTATATGAACTTATACATTTGAATTTAACTGTATGATACATTTTTGTATTTTATTTTAGAGAATAAACAAAGCAGAACATATGTGCAGTTATGTTTACATCAGAATTCATATTTATTTTCTATATTATTAAAAATCCTCTATATTTGGAGGTATTTGTGTTTTCTTTAGGGTTTTGGTCAGGCTCTAATTATTTTTGGTCAGGCTCTAATTTTAATCTCTTTTATCTCTTGCAAGTAAATGAGGGGAAATCATATTAGTCAGTTGTTAGATTGTCTATATGTTTTGTAAGGGTGACTTGGTATAATTTTCTGCTGTGTTTATTGTTAGGCCTCCAATAATCCATAAATATCTTGAATATAAACAGATCTTCAGTTATTCTCTATGTACCAGTGTAGAAGACACACACACACACACACGTTTATACTTCTAGTGAGGACACTCATTGGCATAATGCATTCCCTAGCTCTAACTCTCCAAACTAAATGCCTAATCCTAACCTAAACCTAATCCTAATCCTAAAACCAATTCTTAACCCTCAAACAGCTCTTTGAATTGTGGACCAGCCTCACTCTGTAGGTTTATGCTTAAAATGGTTCTCACTAAGATATAAGTACAGGAACACACACACACACATACATTGCTCAAATACACATTTAATCATATTTCATTCCCACAATTTTCTTTTATATTTCCTCAGTCTCAGAACAGGCTGCAAAGTTGGACCCAGGACATGTCCTCTGTGAGTACACCGTGACCTCCCACATGTTTTTTGTGATTGAATGTTTTCATTTATTAAAGAAATATGAAAGAACAAGAAAAAAAGCACATACACAAAATATACAAATCATTTTTAAAGATCACTAAGGAAAAAAGGAAGCAAAGAAAAACAAGACACAGACACACCTCATTCACTCCATCACTTGGATCCAGGCCTCCGACTCCTATAGAATAAGATTGTAAAAGGTGTTTGAGGTTTATTGAGAGTGAGCACCAAGCCTTTATATCTGATTCCTTTGCTTCAAGGGCTCAAGCAGTCGACAACTCTGAGTTTATAATGTCTAAGTTTGTTTTTAAAGCCCAAATTTGACAAGTTACTAAGAATGAGTGTGAGGTAGCATTGAGCCACCAAATTAACCCTGGGCAAGATGTTCATTTTGATTATAGATACCTGATACCTTAATGGACATAAACTGACTTTCATTCATTGTCCATGTACCAGTACAAATTTAGCAGATTTGAAAATGCTGCGAGAGACATGCACAACTACAGACACGGCTACCCTGTAAGTTACACACACACACACACACACGTTATGCCCACAATTGTTAATTATACGTTATGCCCACAATTGTTCCTTGATATTTCCTCCCAGTCTCAGATCAGGCTGCAGCGCTGGAACCAGAACATGGCCTCTGTGAGTTCACCGCACCACACCTGTCTGTTTGTTTCTTCGTAAGATAACACAAAAACTGTTGAACAGATTAACACAAAACTTGGTGGAAGATGCAATATGGGTCAGGAAAGAACCCACTCAATTTTGATGTGGATCCGGATCAGGTGGCACATCCAGGAACTTACTTTAACATTGTGAGAAGGGGTTTTTCAACAATTTCCCAGTTTTCCCAGTTAATAATTCATGGATCTTAATGAAAATTCAAGGGAACTGAAATCTATGAGTGTGTGAAATTTGTTACAGCTTGATTGAATATGATGAGACTGTCGGGCCTTGGTGGTGGAATGTGATGCCCTTCTAGTTTGAAACAAAGATTAAATATCTCTGTTCAGATACAGAATTAATTTCCTATCTTTTTTGTTGAGCAGGATGACAATCCAAACCTGGAATTCTACCTAGGAAATAAGCCCTCTTTACCTGATGGTAAGCCTTTAACTTACAACGTTATATATTGTGATTTCTTTTTAAATCTGCATCAACACAGGTATTAGTTTTAACCTTTATCTGTTTATCTTGAAATACAGTGTATATAAATCCAAATCACTTTACTTTGGGATTGACATTTCTGCATTTCTATCCATGAGGTATCTACATACAAGATTTCCACAGTAAATGGTTTGGAAACTACAACAAACTGGAGTATGTGCACACTTTTATTCAGTGGTAAGTTCCTCTGTCACCAAAGATGTGATGTAACAGTTTCAGCTCTTGTTTATGAAATGTATAATAAAGTTTTTCTGTCTAAGGTTGTTCCCACTGCAGGAACCAGGCATGAACCATGATGCCAGTATACTGACAAAAGAAGAAATTGAGGTCAGCTACTAAAAGTTGCCACGTTAAAATTAGAATGTGCTTGAATACGTTTTGACTCAAGTTTTACCTTCCCTGTAGGATTTTCTCAGAAACGACACTGCAAAGGAAAATCTGCTTAAGTCCTATGAGCTCATGTTGGACTTCTATGGCATTGAGTTGTGTGATAAGAACACAGGGAAAGTCAAGAGAGCCTCAAACTGGAAAGACAGATTCCAAAACCTGAACAAGTAAAATCTCTGACAATGATAATGATAAGACACATATAGTTCTATGAATATACCTCCAAGTAATGTTTCATTTGCCTTTTTGTCATCAACAGTCACACTCACAACAACTTGCGCATCACCCGCATCCTGAAGTGCCTGGGAACCCTGGGGTTTCCCCATTACCAAGCCCCCCTGGTCCACTTCTTCCTGAGGGAGACGCTCGTCCACGGAGAACTTCCACAAGTCAAAGACAGTGTCCTCAACTACTTTGTGTTTGCCGTCCTCGACAAGAAGCAGCGCAGGAATCTCATCAGGTTCGCCTACTTGAAATATGACCGTAAAGATGAGTTTGTGTGGTGCCCAAGGAAAATACAGATGATGTGGTCAGAGCGCTCTGCGTCCAAGTCACAGGAAAGAGTGGAAGGTGAAAATGACGGTTACGAACTTAAGTCTGAGTATCTGAACCAAGACAATGTTCATGAAGTCCAAGATGAAGAAAATTCAGTTCATTAAATCTGATAACAATGTTGAAGACCTGTCACTGGACATGCTGATGAGTAATGACATATCGTTTGTATTTTTACACTAGTTTATACCATGGTTTATTGTGGTTTGCACACCAAATTAAAGGCACAGTTATGCATGCAAATACATTTGTTTACTTTTGTATTTAAGTTTGATTTCTGAGGAAGATGCTACTTAAAATTCTCTGCTTTAGTTGTGGTGCCTTCTGTCCATATCACAGTACTGCATCATGCAATATTAAAGGTTATGGATCTCCGAAAGCACTTTTATCACAGAATCACTTTTGATTATTAGAAATTCCACATGAAGATTTGGGTTAAACATTTTTACCTTCTGTTCAAACTTACAGAATTAAGGCTACATCCATCTTTCTAGGGTTACATTTAAGATTTTGATCATGACATGTCACATTTCATTTTATTATTATTTACTGCTTATATGTCCTTTAAAGGTATTGATGTTGCTAGGATGTTGATTACTGTACCATTACTGGGATGGGCTGGGGGGAGGGTGTGTTCATTTTTGTTTATGTCTTAATTTGTTTTTCTTTATTTTTCCTTTATTGTACTCTACTCTGTATATAAAGTGACAAATGTACGTATATGTGCGTTGTCAATAAATAAATCTTAAAAAAAAAAGAAAGAAATATTGTTTGTGTCAAGATCTCACCTGAACATAGAAAACTATTTGCAACTTAACAAAGTCAGAAATATTCAATCTACCTTACCCCATCACAACCATTTTTACCAATCACTCACTTTCAAATAAGTAGTCCATAGACTTGCTTTCATGTGATACTGTGATTTTATCGTTTTCTTTTCACCTTTTACTTATTTTTATTGTTAAAGCGCTATTGTTATTTGTGAACAGTTTTTAAAAGTGCTAAATAAATAAATAGTATTATTATTATACTGTGTTAACACAGTGAGGTTTAACAAATTATTGATCAACCTCAGATTTGTACAATGCTTTAAGTCAAGTGTCATTTTCTGCTCATAAAGGGTTTAAAACCACAACCTTCAGGCTCGAAGCTGCATCACCCAGCCAAAGGTATGAATTGATATCAGTTAATCAACCAGAGTGTAAAGCGAAGAAATTTCACATTACTTCAAAACCAAACATTAATCCAAAATCTTACACACATCACAACAAGATTAATGTCAAACTGTTTTTATTAGTTGAACTGAAACAAACTCAGAACATTTCATTAACAACCATTGATGGGATATATACTGTAGATAGAAGCCTTTGAGTCCAATGCTGCTCCACATTTAAACACGATCTGTTTATCAACATTGTTGCCTTTCTTTTCACAAGATCCATCTCAGATATATGGCTTTAATTTTCTCTACTTAGAAAAGTATGATTAAAAACATCAGTATATACACAAATATATTCATATTTACATGTTACAAATAATGTGTTAATCGGGTGTATTGTTTAAAAATGATTGACAGGAGGAAGGTGCATGTAATAGGACTCAATGACCTACTTGATACATGTTCTACACAAGCAACTAAGATGGCCCTCAGTTTTTTATTTTCTCAAATGTGATGACTCAAACTTCAGGTGACAAAGATAATACAAACATTTTTAGAGTAATAACACAAGTGGGAATTTTATGAAATACTGCATTTACAGTGATGATTTCAACCGTCTCACACTGTAATGTAGTGTCCATGAAACTGACTAGGATGTGTTTTTGTCATTTTCTGCTGTTTTTTCACGCTCCTTAGTTACATTGTGTTTGCTTTCCTTTTTCTCCTCTCTCTTTTCCCGGCTTTTGCTCTTGTCCCGTCGATCTCTGTCTTTGTCTCTGTCCCTCTCTCTTTCCCTGTTGCGGTCTCTGTCTTTCCCGCGATCTTTCCCACGGTCACGGTCTCGCTCGCGGTCTCGATTACGCTCCCGTTCTCTGTCCTTTTCTCTGTCCTTTTCTCTGTCCTTTTCTC